CCAACATTACGGCTCGGAAAAAAATTATCGTTTGTTCCCGTTGAGCCTCGTCTTCAATCACTTACTTGATTGGTCAAGCACGATACAGATAGTGGGTTATTTAACAAATAAACCACAGGCTGAGCCTTATTTACTTGTTTTATTATATAGATTTTGAGCAAAAGATTTTTTTGAGCACAATCGTGGTTTATACTCTCATAAACCACACTCCTTTGGCCAATCAGAGCGAGCGTTAGAATTCATCTATATAATAAAGAGTGTTTGAATGACAATTATTTCATTGTTTTGAATCCAGGTGAAATCAGYGAGCTGTCTCGTGAACGTGACTTGATGCAAGTCGAGAAGAACTGCGAGCACCAAGCGTTTGAAACTGCGCARAATGCTGCCAGGGAGATGCAGAAACAAGCTGCCAAGAGCGCTGAATCCGCTGGAAAAAATAAAGGTACGGCGTTGTCATTTTATATGCTGGTTTACAATCATCCCTTGAAATATAAAAAACAAAAGATCGGTGGCAATGTTGAGGTTATGGACAATACGTTGTTAATGAAAGCCAACTTGCTGCCTCCTCGGCAGACATATCGTCTGCGGAGGAGGGTAGACAACATGGCCGACATGACGTCAGAATCATTGTCATTGATGATCGCTTTTATGTTTTGTGATCTCATTTGTATCATTGATTTCATTGTTTTTTTAGTTGAACTCAGTGTCATCACAGATGATAATCTTTTACTAAAACAGAAAGTTCAAACGCTGGAAAGTGAACTTAAAAAGTAAGATATGATTTSTACCTTGAAGTCAGGTGTCGCTTGAGACCCTATATAACCTCCTCGGTGACTCTTTTTAGCTCTTAGCATCTTATCACACACATCCTTCCCTCCCCTCCCTCCCATACACTGTACTGTACATCGCGTTCCTTACCTCTGATATTAAAGCATCGATTTTATCTTTGATTCAGATATCGACGTGAAAATACACGTTTATCATCGGATTATAACAAGTTACAGAGCTCGCATCGAGACCTTGAATTACAAGAACGAGCACAACACGAAAAACAAATCAAACAACAGGTATGATCACTCTCTTTGGTTCTCTATCTAGACCGCGAACTAACTGCACTCATACACACTTCCTCTGGCACTAGATGTGTAGGTTGTTTTGGTACATTTGAATGCATTACTGATAGATCGACTGATTGCATTTAATTGGCTGGAGTTCTAGT